AATTGAAATAAATCGAAATTTTTAAACAAATCGAAAATAATTTTTATGCAAATCGAAAGAATTTTTACGGGTCCCTGGTCTAATACTAGTTCGTTTGAATCAAGCTCATCTGATACTAGTTCATCTGAATCAAGCTCTTCTGAGTCTAGTTCATCATCTGAGAGTAGTTTCTACGAGACTAGTTCATCTGAATCAAGTTTATCTGAGAGTAGTTCCTATGAGACTAGCTCATCTGAATACAGTTCATCCGATTCTGATATTGATGAAATAGTAAACATGATTAAGCATCAAAGAATTCAGAAGCGCCAAGCCCAAAGAAAAGATCAGGAGAAAAATGCATATAATAAAAATAAGGCTAATTAGCTATCTGATAAATGGGAGTCTAAAGCGATGATAGAGGTTTATTTTTTCTGACTGAAAGATATTCTAACTATATAAATAAAATAATGCATACAGATAATTTACTTGATCTTCTTCCGCCGAAGATAATATCATTTATTCTAAAGTATCTTCCAGAACAGGAACTAAAGAATTCTCGTAGTATAAATAATATATGGGAAAGAGAAGCGAATCTTGAATGGCACAAAAGGATAGAATTTTTATTTGGGAGAATAGTTCAAGGCAATTATACAGTAAAGGAATATTATTCGAAACTGAAAGAGTGTAATTTAAGCAAAGACTATTCAAAATGGCTTCTTAAAAATCTATTCCTTAGAGGATTATTATCTGAGAATGCATTTAAAGTTCTTTTGGATGAGCTAAAAGTACTTTCATTAGATGAGATAGTGGAAAGCCTTAGTCTGAAGCAGTGATCATTAAGCTTAGAGAATTTATTTTTTCAATTAAAGATACAGCATATATTATTCATGACATATTCAAGCATTTTTATTATACCAAAACTATTAGAGCGGATTTTATATTCCCTAGTAGTAGATAAGACACTGTATTCTACTCTATTTGTATTCTGATTATGGTACAGATGCGGTGCTCCTATTTTATAGAAACATGTTGAGCTAAAGATGGGTAGCATATGAAAGATTTTTATGAAAATATTGCGTGAAGAGCAAAAGCCAGTTTATTGTTTGAATGTAACTCATCTAGAAATTTCAAATTACTATCGACTTTTGAATAAAAAATTCAAAAGAATTGTAGGCCTGCTTCCAAATATAGTTCATTTAGATTTTAGCTATAGCAGGAGATTCAGAAATAAGACACTAAAACGAATAGCAAAATCATATCCCAATTTGAAGTATCTCAATTTGCAGAAGGATGAGGAAATAGGTCATAGTCAAAATCAGACATATCGAAATATTCACCTTAGAAGAATAAGAAGGTTGATGAATGAGAATTATATTCCTTCCTCTGGTAACCCTGGTTGTGATACTGAAATAACTGATGATGGTCTATCGATAGTTGTACTGAGATGCTGTAAATTAGAATATCTCAATATTTCCCACTGCACGGTGATTACCAATATAACTATCAATGTAATTGCTAGTTCATACCTTAATTTAAAATATCTCGATCTAAAGGGTTGTTATAATATCAGCAAAGAAGCTATATGAACTTATTTTAAATGTTCATGTTGAAAATATCATAGGTGTATTACCTCATTATATTAGTGTAATAGATAAATATCTTAGCCAATACGATATTTGTGGATTGGTTGAGTTAGAGCAGAAGATAAGGGATCGTAATAGTGCTAATAATCTGAATTCTACCTTAATGTTAAAAGCTATTAATAACTTACAGCTGATCAGAGTAAGCTAGTTAGTCCAGAGCAGTGATTGCGTAATTTTATTTTTTGTTAAAGATATAGCATATATTATTTATGACACAATCAAGCATCTTTTATTTACCAGAACTATTAGAACAGATTTTACATTTTTTAGCGATAGATAAATCTC